TGTGGGATCTTCCCGGACCGGGGCACGAATCCGTGTCCCCTGCATCGGCAGGCAGACTCTCAACCACTGCGCCACCAGGGAAGCCCCCTAGAATATATTTTTAAAAATTTCTGGGAATTCCCTGGTGGTCCAGTGGTTAGGACTCCTTGCTCTCACTGCCAGGGACCCAGGCTCAATCCCACAAGCCACGCAACATGGCCAACTAAAAAGTTAAAGAAGAAAGCTCATGTTGGCCAAATAAAATATTTCAGCTGGCCACGGGCTATAAATTATAATCATAGTGCTCAACACTAAGAATACAACTCCTGTGAGGGCAGGGATTTCTCCTCAGTGACTAGAATGGTGCTGGGAACATAGTAGATAGTCAATTAGTGTTTGTGAAATTAATGAATGAAGGAAGGAAAACACATGTTTTAGTAGTACTTGTGCAGGCATTGTGCTGGGCCCTTAACACTATTGCTGTATAATTGTGCTTTATCTTTTTCTAGAGAAAGATTTAAATTATACAGAATGGTTTTCATTGCCTGTATAAAAGATGAGTTTAGAGAGACTGTGTTTGTTTTCTATTGCTGCTGTAGCAAATTACCATAAACATAGTGGCTTAAAACAACACATATTTATTCTTAAAGTTTTGGAAGTCAGAAATCCCAAATGGGTCTCACTGGGCTAAAGTCAAGATGTTTAGCGGGGCTGCATTCTCTCTGGAGGCTCCATGGGAGAAACTATTTCCTTGTTTTTTCCAGTTTCTATAAGCTACCTGCAGTCCTTGGCTTGTGGCTCCTTCCTTCTTTTAAAAAAAAATTTATTTATCTATTAATTTAATTTGGCTGCATCCGTCTTAGTTGCGGCACATGGGATGTTTGTTGCAGTATGCAGGATCTTTCGTTGTGGCACACAGTCTTCTCTCTAGTGTGGGCTCTTCTCTCTAGAGTGCTTGGGCTCAGTAGTTGCGGCGTGTGGACTTAGTTGCCCTGCAGCATGTGGGATCTTAGCTCCGCAACCAGGGATCAAACGCGGGTTCCTTGCATTAGAAGGCGGATTCTTAACCACTGGACCACCAGGGAAGTCCCTCCTTACTTTATTTTCAAAACCAGCAATGATGGATCCCAGTCTTTCTCACCTTGCATCACTCTGACTGTGACACTTCTACCTGCCTCTTCCACAGTTAAGGGCACTGTGACTACATTGGCCCACCCAGATAATCCAGAATAATTTCTCTCTCTCTCTTTTTTTTTTTAAGGTCAGCTTATTTGCAAACTTAATTCCATCTGTTATCTTTAATTTCCTTTTTACATAGAACCCAACATATTTATAGGTTCCAGGGGTTAGGATATAGACATCTTTGGGGAGGGCATTTATTCTGCCTTCCCAGGGACTAAAGTTGGTACCATGTCTCCATATCTGAGCAGCAAAGAGGGCACACTAGCCACTGATAGTATCCCCATAGTGCAGACAGGTGGACCTATCTTTCATACACAGGTGTGTCTGTCTTTCATACATATGTGTATCTTTCTTTCATAGATAGGCATATCTGTCTTTTTACAGCTTGACCACAGTAGATATTAAAATCATATAATTTCCCTTGTTCTAATACCACATTCAACCAGTTAACTTATGATTTTACCCATGTACATATTTTTTCAAGATAGAGAATATTCTGACCAGGCAATATTAATACCTTCTCCATTTGGCAGGTACACCTCTGAGATGCTGGTTTTAGCCTTTTCTACATTTCCTGGACAATTAGAAGCTGATTCTCTGGGTATATAAAAAAAGGTGGACTTTTTGAACTTGAGGACTCACCTCTAGATTGTGGTGAACCCAGCAAAGTTCTGCCATTACATGTGGCTGTTCTCCAGTCACTACCTGTCTGTCTCACTGGGCATTTCTTATAAACAAAGCAAGGACCATCCGTCATCATTAATGGAAGTTTAAATGAGTTCTGATTTTTATACAAAGATGACATTACAGACAAAGATGGAGAACTCTGACTCTCATGATATGAAAGCAAGAGCAAAGACTTTTAAGGCCAAGAAGGCAAGTGGAAAGGCAGCCACAGCCTCCGGAAGGCCCAATAGTTACTTGTTTTCCTGGAGTATAACACGCTGCGACTCCAAAGGAAGCTTGAGGGCCAAGGAACACACTAGGTCACAAAGAAGATGGAGGACAACACTGGTTTTTCCTGTGGCTTCCAAGGCCAGCAAACCTTAGATCAAGCACTCTTTGAACAATCCTCATGACATTGATGTGGATGAAATTGATACCTTGATTAGGCCTGATGGAGCATACATTCAAACAGGCCTTGACTCTGGTGATTTAATGCTGCCAACAAAATTGGGATCATCTAAACATTTCTAAACATTTTTATTATTCAGAATAACGTTGGGGGGTGCACATTATGAGTAGAAAGTTATTTCTGACAAAAAACTGTTTAATATGTGCAAACTCTTTAACATGTGCAACTCAGAATATTTTGAGATATTAGTTTCATATTTCTCCCCACATTTTCCACTTGCTCTTCCCTCATTCAAGCAAATAGCTGGTTCTTTGCTTCTTTAACAGTGCAGAAAACACAAGCCTGTCAGACACCTGGTCTGTATTTGCAAAATCTCAATCCCACAAGGGAACCGAGAGTTTTCCAGAAGTAGAAAGGAAAAGGTGTGTGGGACAAAGGGCTTGGATGAAGCCGTTGAGAGGTGAGAAGGTCCTTCATCCAGACTGCAGAGAGATTCCCAGGCTGCAGGGCAGAGAGGGAAGTCTCTGGGGTTTTTTGAGCAGCTGAGAGCCCCATGGTGCTCCTAGACAGCATCCTCCAGAGGATCAGCAAGATTTCCAAGAGAAAAGACCACATGGGACGCATAAGGCAGGGACTTCAAACTCAAATAACTGCAGGGCCAGGTAGGTTCCACTAATCAGTGAAGGAGCTTTCAAGGATGAAGCCACTACTTAGACCCAGCCTAGTGTTGTCAGGTGAGAATGTGGAACTCAAGCAACCATATCTCCCCATTAAAAAAATTAATAAATCTGGATGTTGTAAAACAAATCTTGTGATTGTTACATGTTGCAGTTAATTCACGTCTAAATTTTTAGCCACTATGTGGGCCAGAATAAAATCATCTACAGAGTCCCGTGTGTCGAGTGTGACAGGACCACACAGAGCCACCGGACTGGTATGGGCTATTTGCATAGGAACTAGGGCCAGCTCCACCGTGGCCTGTGTACAGAGATAGCCAATGACCAGAGGACCCTACTCTACCCCTGCTGCTTTGACTCTATTAGAGCTTTCTTGGTTGGCATATATCTAGGTGAAACGCAAAGAGTGACTGAGGTTCATTTCTCATCAGCCCAGCAGAATAGATCTTGAAGAAATAATTAAATTCATTCATAAAAAGTAATGGATTGTGACATATCTTTCAGGCATGAGTTTATGGGCTGAGATTCATGCCTGTTACACAATTAAAGACATCTAAACCCCTGTAATTAGGCCCATGTCCTACCTTATAACCTTTTCTCCACTTCAGTCCATCCTCATGCTAACTGAACTCACTCACACCATGTTCTTCGATGACAAAGCCAGAAGGGCCATTCCCTTTATGTGCTCTCTCATTTGCCCCAGGGCTTTGCTTACTCTGTTCCTTCTCCTGGAATGCCCTTCCCCATCCTCATTTCTGCCTACCAAACACTATCATCTTTTGAAGAAGCCCAGAATTCTATTCAGAATCCATCTTTACCTTTTACCCGTCTGTTCTCAGCAAGTTGCCTTGCCTGTACTGTGACTCTTCAGGAAGTGGCCTTGTGTTACACTTAATCATAAATGTTTCCCTTTGCTTTATGAATGAGCCTTGTCTTATGATCTTTGCTTCCACCATGGTCTCAGAATAGGCCTGAAAAGTGATGGCTGACTGGACTTGAATGAAGAAATGTGTTGTGGCTTAGGAGATGCAGCCAGGTGACTTTTCTTAGAGTTTGGAAACCAGTGAGTTATACTGTTTCTGTGGTGGACACTGTCATGTACCATCTAGAGCCCTTTCAGAAATGAAGAATTTGTTCCCCCAGCTGCTAGGAGTGTTGGGAGGAGTCAGGCCTCAGTTGTCAGCCCTCTTTGGTGATTGCCTGGCTTCAACGAAACTGTCTTGCTTAAGACCACCTGTCCTTTCAGGGCTGGCCAGCAGCCAGTGACTAATAAATGTGCAGCATAAAGGCTGACTCTTTCTCCCCAACTCTGGACGACTCTGAAGGGCCATCAGTCTGCAGGATAACTTTGTGGGGCTAGCTGATGTCTTTGCGGGCCTGCATCTCAGCGAGATTTCCTAATCCTGCTTTCCACCTTCCTTTCCTTGGGTGTTGATCCTGAGAGCATTCCCTAATAAGGAAATTACATGCTAACTTCTGTCACAGAGTCAATTTCTGGGAAACCCAACCTGAAAAAGGTTTCATGTCAACTAGCTACTATTTTCTTGTAAATTTACTGCTTTTCATACAGACAACAGAAATGTCAAATCCACATTAATTATGTTTATTTTGTAATAGAAATTCAGTGAAAGAGAAAGGGAGGAAAGATGAAGGCGTAGGGTAGGAAAATAGGTAGTAATTATTGAATTGTTAAAAGCACATAAATTAGTGTCATGAATTTAAAATTGAGTTTATTACTATTTCAGTTCCATGAAATAACTTGGTGTGTTAGCGATCATTTCAATAAAATGAACATTGTGCCCAGCAAAATTTACAGAGCATTCTAGCTTTTGTGCTGCTTGCTTTATGTCTGTCTCCTCAATTTTCTTCAATCAGCAGCTCTTTGCCATGAAAGTTTGTGTTTTGGTTTGTTACCAGGAGCATCCAGGCCAAACATCTTCTGTGGGGAAAAAGAAGTTAAGTGAATTCCCTCTCAGTAGCTTCATCTCTAAATGTGCTCGACAAAGATAAGGAAGAAGACTCATCTACGTCAAGCAAGTGGGCAGCAAAGACGCTGGCAAGATCCTTTCATCTTGTTTTGCTCTTAACGGTGAGCAGTAAGTAAGAGCAGAGATAACATGAAGGTGGTCCCGTAGGCTAAGGGTGAGCAGGGAAATGCTGAAGGCCAGGAAGGAGAGGCCACAGAGCTGCAAGAGGTGGAGGGCACAAAAGGGTGCCAACCGCAAAACTGTAAGTTGTTCATTATTATTATTATTTTTTTTGCGGTACGCGGGCCTCTCACTGTTGTGGCCTCTCCCGTTGCGGAGCACAGGCTCCAGACGCGCAGGATCAGCGGCCATGGCTCACGGGCCCAGCCGCTCTGCGGCATGTGGGATCTTCCCGGACCGGGGCATGAACTCGTGTTCCCCGCATCGGCAGGCAGACTCTCAACCACTGCGCCACCAGGGAAGCCCTAGTTCTTCGTTATTAACATTTAAGGGTACAGGGTCTGGATCAGACTGCTTGGATTCAAAATCCTCTAGCTGTGTGACCTTGAACAAGCTCACTTAACTCTTCTGAACTTCCGTTTCCTGAAACTTAAAATAAGGATAAGGATAATCCTTACTCTATAGATTTGTCAAGATGAATAAATGAGTTATAACCTATAAAGCACCTGGAGCAATGCCTGGCCAGGAAATTGCTTAACGAATGTTAAGCCTGGCCCTTCTAGATGGGAGTTGGAGGCCGACCTCCCCAGGCCTCCAGGAATGACCAAAGTGCATTGGAAACAGCATCAGCAAGAGCAGGGGAAGACGGCCTACCTTTTATTATATTATTTAATTCAGCAGACATTAATTAGCACCCAATAAATGGGGTGACCTGTGGGGACACAAAGATAATTCAGAGAGAGACCCTATGCCCCCAAAGCCTACTGGCAGGTAAGGAGCATATGGTCACCTGGCTTCTGGTGAGTGGAGACCCATCCTTTGAGATTCACAGTAGAGTGAGGGTTGAGGTGACACCCCACTGGCCAGCAGTCATTCTATGCAGAAAGCCTTCCTTGCATGAGGCCACCAGTGTAGGGCAAAGAGCACAGGTGTTGGAGTAAGACAGGCCTGACTTTGAATCCCTGGTCTGCTTTGGGCATTGCTGAGCATTGCTGAGCCTCAAGCAGCTCCATCTGTAAAATGGGGATCACATTTACCTTATAGGATGGCTGTAATAATTGAGATGATGCAGATTAAATGCCTGCACAGATACTCAGTGAGCATTAATTCACTGAATAAACATTTATTCTGTACCTATTCTTTCAGGCGCTGTGCTCGATGGTGGTGATATCAACCAAAACAAAACAAAAAGAAAAAAGACCTGGTTCCTGGTGTATTTGGGAAGAAAAAAGAAATATTCAGAAAGAGAGAATATGCCCAGAAGGATTTGCTGATAATATGTTAGAGTGCTTACTGTTCCCAAGAGCTATGGCAAGTTGAATGCTTTACACAGGTTAACCGGTTTGCTTCTCGTATGATTAGCGGTTATGAATTGGACACTGTTATCCCCTATTATCCCCATTTTACAGGCAAGAGGCTAGAGAAGAAGCAAGAGAGGTAGGTGGTGCTCAAATCGCAGTGAACCTCAGAGCACAGGTCATACAAAGGGTTTGAGGCCTGTGCCGGACCCTGTGTTTGCCCCTCTCAATCCCCTCTCCACCCGGTCCTGCCCGGCTCAAGGCCCAGGAGGCAGAAATGTGAGGCCTGAACCATGGGCTCTGTGCCTGTCTTCCACTGGGCTTCAGCCACTGGTTATCCCCAAAGAGGACACAGGGATGAGCTGAAGTCAGGGCACTGATTCCCCTGGCTCTCTCCCCGTGAGCTGGACTTAGCTGGCTGTGCTCCTCACCAAAGGCCACTTCTTTTCTAAGGGAGACCAACTTCACATGACTCTTCCCCTCTCCGTTCCAGCTAACGCTCCCTCCCCTCAAATCTCTACACTTAAAAAAAAAAAAAAAAATCTCTACACTTGAGGGACCTGCATCCAGTCTGCCACCAGCAGTGATCATGGAACTATCCTTTGTGGGTTTCCCCACAACCACAACTTTGTAAACAGTACTGTTGATGAAAAAATTAATCAGTCTAAGAAATGGAAAATTGTATTTAAGCCGAACTGAGGATTATAACCCGGAACAGCCTCTCAGAAACCTCCAAGAATTGTTCCTCCTGTTAGAGGTCAAAGCACAGTTGCATAAGTTTTTGAGACAGAGGGCTGTACCTTAAACGACATATTATTGACAGTTTATACAATCCAGGTCTACAGTACAAAGCAGGTAGTGGATCATGGGTCATCGTGGCCTCTTAGAAGATTAAGAAGGAAGGTTATCTCTTAAGGAGTTGTGACCCTTGATGAGATTAAGAAGGAATGTTATCTCCTAGGGAGCTCTGGTTAATGCAGATGCACACTAAAGGGGAGGGAGGAGGCCCAAACAGGCAAAGAAAAATTTTATGTTTAAATTTTTCTCATCTTGCCATAAAATATGAATTCTATTACACCAGTCCCTTTTAAAATTAACCCATATGTTTTCCATCTCCACTGCCACTTCCCAAGTCCAGGCTGCCCCTTTAGACCACAATAGTATTCTAGTTTGTTTTACTGTATCTACCCTTTTTTGAGGGGTGGGGGGAGGATTGAGGGAAAGGCATAAAAGTGAAATGATACCTTCACTCTTCATTCTGCTCTTGATACCCTGCAATCTAGTCTCCAGATTACATCCGAGTGATTTTTAAAAATATATAAATCAGATAATATCACCACTACCCTACCCCCATGATGCTTAAAAACCCTCACTTGTGTCCTCTGGCTCTAAATCCAAAGATTAAAATCCTTAACATGATACAAGAAACTGCTTTTCCAATTTCATCCATTTTCATTTCATTACATTTACCGTATTCCACCCATGCTGGCCTTCTCTCCATCTCTCTCAGTCACAGGCTCCTTCCTTACTCAAGGCTCCAGAGCTTGGTATTTCCTTTGATGGGGACATTCTTCCCTCCTCTCTTTGCCTAATTAACTCCTTTTTCTCTTTCAGATCTCAGATCACCTTAGTTCCTCAGGGAAGCCATCCCTGACTGCCCAGTTAGGATTCTTTACTCTTTCAGTTCCAAGTGACAAGAAAGAAAGAAAGAAAAAGAAAGAAAAAAGAAAGAAAGAAAGAAAGAAAGAAAGAAAGAAAGAAAGAAAGAAAGAAAGAAA